GTTTGTTCTAAGTAGGTGCTTTAGACCACTGAGCCATCTCACCAGCCCTATATTCACATCTTGAGAGTGCCATGTTCTTAGGCTGATTGATTTGTACTTCCTGAATCTTGCTTTCTTGACTAAAATGGGAAGGTCTGCATATGATTATTTTGAAGATTAACTGAAAAATCTCTATAAAGCTTATTATTTCCTAGTTCATAGAACTCAGTTAATTGTAGCAGCTTTTATGATTCCAGGAAAAGAGAACTATTTGCAGAAAATGGATATGTGAAAGTATGGCCAGGCTCTGAACTATAGGTTGTTCAACATCACTTGAAAGGAGGTTATGATAGAAGATGGAAATGATCTGGAGAGCTAGGGAGGGAGCCCATCCTGAAGTGCACCGTCACAATAATGGTGGGTTTACTCACCATCTACGCTTTCCTCAAAGTAGTGACAGGTGGAGTGCCATTCAGCTTAAGAGAATGAGTGACCTGAGACTTCATCTGGGCTTTTATTGCTCATTCTTAGTATCCAAGACTCAAGTGAGCCAGATGACTTTCCTGTAGACAGAGTAGATGTTGTGTAATACTTGTCTTTCATTCCCAGGATATGATGGATGATATCTGCCAGGAACAATTTCTAGAGCTATCATACTTAAATGGAGTACCTGAGCCCTCTCGTGGACGTGGGGTGCCAGTCAGAGGCCGGGGAGCTGCACCTCCCCCTCCACCTGTTCCCAGGTAAAGATAAAATAGACAGCTAAAAATAGCATGTAAGTTTGACTGCTAGAACCATCACTATTAGTGGTGCTCTTTCTTTTTTTTTTTTAAGTGGTGCTCTTATAGCTTAGAAGTCTCAGGATTTGTATGTTCCATCAAGAACAAAATTCTATTAAATGCTGGTAAGGATGCAGGGGAAAAGGAACCGTTCGTTGTATACTGCTGGTGAGATATAAGTTAGTACAACTGTGGAAACCAATATGGAATTTGCTTAAAAAACTAAAACTAGAACTCATTGGTATATGTCTGAAGGAATTACATTCAGCATACCACATTGATACCTGCAAGTCCTTGTTTATCATAGCACAGTGTGCAGTGTCCACAATAGGGAACCAGCTTAAGTACTTGTCAGCAAATGAATATATAAAGCAAATTGGCATATACATAATGAAATATTATTTAACTATTTTTAAAAAAACCAAGGGGCCAGGGAGATATAGTTCACTAGAGTAAGTGCTTGCCTGGCAAGTTCAAGGGCCTGAGTTCAGTCCCTGGTTCCACCAAACAAAACAAAACAAAAAACCAAAAATTTTGTGATTTACAGAAAAATGGAGGGATCTGTAAGTCATCCTATTAAGTGGAATAAGCCAGATTCAGACAAATACCTCATGTTCTCCCTAAATGTGGA